AACAAAACTGCCAGGTGTTGCAGGCATCTGATTCTCCTTCTTAAGCTTACCCAGTGCACATAAATGGGTGCAGATACCCAGAGGAGACGCAGAAACAGAACAGACACTAAAACTATGTGCCTTTTACTCCCAAACCTGAAACACCTGTAGGTTTTTGAAAATCATGCGTTTTGGGGGCTCCTATCTCAGAGATTCTAATTCCATCAAACAGGGTCCAATAATCCACATAGAATAATTCTCATGTGCAAGCAGGTTTGGGAGCCACTGTTAGATTTGTAACACGTGTATGTTGAGGGCCGATGTCAGGAGATGGAGGAGGGAGGAGCACAGCCTCCTAAATCTCTACCTGTCAGTGTGGAGAGAATCCCTGCTGCCACACTGGGTGATGGAGGAAGGTTTTGCCGAGGAGATAAGTTTCCGAAACTGCTTTGGTACATTGACAGACAATGGGGTAAAAACATCCCATGCCCAGAGTATAGTTGTGGGGAAATGCAAAGGTGGGAGCAGACCCGGGGAGTTTTCAGGAGGAATAACTAAGGAGAGGGAAAGCCAAGGAGGTGAGGTTGTGTTTCACTCACTTTAGTTTATCTCGATGGCAGATAAAAACTGCTTGTATGAAGGGAGGTGCTTTCTCACGTTTATTAAATTTTCATGTTTATAAAATTACAGGGATTGTTAAAAGCAGAAAGCCACTTTTGTAATATAATGAACAATAGGAGACATGTCCTTTCTCTGAATACTTGGCATTGACCTCCCATAACAAAATCTTGAGACCAAACCTGAGCCTCCCGGCAATTTTTGTATCCAACTTTCTGGCAAGCCAAGCCATTGTCTTTCCCTTTCCTCCTGCCTGTCTCTCTATTACATGGAATGAGGAAGCAGGAAGCCCAGGGATCACCTTGGTTAATCAGGTATCAAGAGCTGCTTTCATCACCATGGAAACATGACACTCCTATGGAAGACAGAGAAACATCTCATCTGTTTTTTCAAGGTGGCTGTTACATCCCAGGATAATGTCCTTTCTGAAAACAAAAAAACAGGAAGATATACATATACACACAATTACCTTACATAGTATGTTGAACACTGCTGAACTTTATTCATCAGACTGTAGAACAGTTTTCATTTTTGCTCAAAGCAAAATTTTCCAGAAGTCAGATTGTAAACTAGGTGGGCTTGAGTCCTCCAGGGAAACAGACTTCTAAAGACCCAGATACACTTGTCCTGCAAGGGGTCTGCTGAACCGTCTAGCCCAAGAAGTCTCTGCAGACGTGTTCCTTTCCACTTCTTCCCCCCTCCTGCCTCCGGTGGGCTATGTAAGGGTGGTGGAAGCGAAATATTTTGTAAAACACTGAATTCCTCCTCCTCTTGCATCCTGTCTCAGGCTATTTTCTTGTGTCCTTCAAAATATTAGCCAAATTTTAAAGAATTCCATGACTATGGAGACTCCATGCCATTTTTAAACCCCTAGTAATGGGTCTCGATTTTGCAGGCACCGTGAAAACTCCGTGCACGTTATTTCCCCCATAGACCGACAGCTGATCTCAATGCTGAACCAGAAACGACTGGGGAGTAGACAGTCTTTCCCACAGCCCTGTGTATATTAGGATAGGTGCACAGAAATAAGAGTAAACTTACCTTTTCCCCCCTCTACTGCTTTGGACATAATACTAATCTTATGCTGTGGAATTCTAATACTTTTGAATCTCTTGTTTCTAAAGCATTAAGTTAGGAGTGGAAAAACCCCATAAGATTCACTTCCCTGTAGGATCACTTGTTTTCTTTAATATTTTTAGATTTTATTTACTCTAATAAAAAAGAAGGCCAGTGTGGTTGAAGCATTGATTTTTATCTCCTACTGGAGCACTACCCTTTATGGCATTTAACTGGCAAAATAATGATTTAAAATATCTTGCTAAAGGAGACATGCCAGACCTTTTTTTTTTTCTCTGTGTAACAAGAAGTTAAACTCTTTTATAGGGTTAATGAGTCAGGACCTGGACAAAAATGCCTCTAAGTGTCTGACAGAGTTAAGGGAAAGAGGTGAGATATCATTTAGTAATTTTCTTTTCTTTAGAAGCAAAAAATAGAGTTTTGAAAATTTTGAATATAAACATACTATCTTGGCATAGAAAAACTTTTTCAAGGGTTAATCCTAATCTCAGGCAACTGAGAAACTACTGCAGGATTTACTCTGAACTCCAGATACTCTCCCGCTCTCTTGAGACATGTGAGAAGAATTGTATATGGGGAAGGGAATTCCTTTCTTGACCATCAGTGCCCTCACTCTGTGAAGCAAGAGCTGAGTTTCAATATAAATATTATTGCTGGCCAAGTCCTTTTTAAAACCTAGCCATAGAATCTGACTGTCAGAGAGTGTTTATTCTTGGTCTCGCTATCAATTCTCCCTAAAATGGAAAACCTACAACAAAGGATGCAGTAAAATGCTGCTCAGGGCAGGATTGTGTCAGCCCGAGAGGCAGTTACAGGGAGATCATATTAAGGGATTTGCACTTACACCCTTGGCCCTGGCCCAGCCAAGGCTGGGAAAAAGACTCCCACTTCTCCAGCCCAAAACCAATGATGTAAATTAACTCTACAAGGAGCCGTGTCCTCTGGCCTCCTTTCCCCCGAGGTGATCTTGAGGGTGCTTGTATAAGCGGTTTGGTTATTGAGGCCCAAAGTAGTTTGCAAAAAGGAGGTGCCTAACTGCATTAGAGAAATTTGCGTTGGAGTTAAAATGTTAAGTCTCATCTAGAATTGGCTTTGTATCATTTTGGGTATTTCCTTCAAATGCTAATGAAAGTTCAAGAATACTAATCCGATCCTGTTGGCCAAGCCAAGCCAGTCATGGCAGGCATCCAGCTGAAAATTAGTTTTCCCTGTCTACTTGTGGAGATTCCGTACCATGTAAACAGAGGCACAGCAAGGCCCGGGTGATGGTGTTCCTCCCACGCCAGCCCAGACCCCCCTCGTGTCCCTACACTGCTCGCTCTCTTAGCTTTCCCTGGCCCTTACCTCCTCCTGGTCAGTGCCTGATGGCTCTGGGCGCTGAGGACCTTACACGTGGGCCCCTCGGGCATCCAAAGGCAGCGTAGTGCACGAGGTTAGAAGTCAGAATGGTGTGATCGTACCTCGGTTCCGCCTCTTCTTACCTGCATATGTTTATGTAACTTATTTACCTCCTTACACCTGTTTCCCTTCTGTAAACTAGAGGTCACAACATTGATTGACTTAGTTGGGTTCTGAGGATTGAAGGTAACGTCTGTGGGGTTCCTGGCACGCCAGAGAGCCTCCCCCAAAAGGTGGCTGCTGTTACCTGCCGCCTGCGCCTCCTGCAGCCCCTGCTCACCAGGACACCACCTGCACAGGAGAAGGAAGAATCCCAGTTCTCAGTGTCCTTTCGTGTCACTCTCCCCAGCTCTGCAGGATCCTGAACAGTCAGTGCTGGGGTTCCTGGGAGCTGTGGGGGTTCTTTACCCTCGACCGTCAGTTGTGGAGTCCTGACTCTCCACCGCGCAGGGCAGAACACCTACACTGAGCATCCTCCCCACCAG